CTTGAAGTCGGCTAAAGTTGTTTTATCTACAGTGGCATGATGCTTGGGGCAAAGGCTGGCTGAGTCAATGCAGTAACCATTTCCCTTATGGCTTGTGCCACATCGACCATAGGATCACGTCGAGGTGGCATTTCGACCTACGATTTATTTCACTAAGTTAACATCTGGTGATAGAAATTATTCCTATCTTATATTTAAAATTTTTCTATACAAACAACATTTTCCTACTCAACTTATACTCACAAGCCCTAAAGATGCATAACCAGAGCTACTGATACCACTAATGTAACCCCCTTACTGATTACATTTATTAATCCTAATTTATTATTTAAGTTAGTAATATTTTCAATATTCATAGAAGGTTAATAGAAAATATACCAAGTGAACAATTTATTTAGGTAAAGTTTTATATTAAATCAAGCAACAAGTTCTAGTACAAAGTTTTCAAAATATTACAAGTCATAAAGTTATACTTATATGTTATACAATTCCCATCCTAAGCTCTGGATTTTTGCATCTGACATCTATCTCTTGAATTATGTATTCCTGCATCATACGTCACCAACATCTGGAATTGAAATATTTATGGGGTTAGACATTTAATTTTATCCACAACAAATAAAGCAAACATTTATACGATAAAATCAACCAATGAAACATCCCTTCTAATAAATATACAACCATATATAATTTAATTTAAAAATTAATTATGAGAAACAAATAAATAAATCATGGAATCATAATAGAGAATATCGTACAAATCATGAATAATTTACAATTTTATCATGCAATATGTTTATGATATGCACATGTGACTCCAAACGTAAAACTTTAAAATCATGCTTTTGACTCAAAATAAAAAATTTATTTTTGACTCGAGTGCTCCATGGAGACTCATTTGAGTGTCTAGTGGAACTAGAGCTTAACATCACCCTGTCCGGTGATTCGACAATATCCCACTAAACGCGAATAAGTAGACAGTAGTCGAAGTGTGAGTGCACCCGGCAGGCTACCACGGCACAGAATCAAATAAAGACTGGTCACTTATGGAATTGCCCATGCCCAAACACTCCCTAGACCAAAGGTCCATCCCCATAGACCAGGAGGTCCTGTCTTACCTATTCTACTCCCCATTTACTATCGAGAGATTCTGGTAGCTCAATTTTTTTATTTTTTTTATAATTCATTCTTTGTCTCATTTGGCCAGCCATTTTCATAGTCATATTCCACTACCAGATGCTCTTGATAGTAAATTGACTCACAGAAATATTTTTAAAATTATGGTTTGCACATCTTTATTACTACCAACTGTCCTTGGTAGCTACTTAAGAGAAATTTCCAAATACTTTTCTTTAAAAAACTTTTCTGTGACTTTCAGAAAACATTTCATGCACTATGTTTATGTCTCGTATGAAACAAAACAATCTATCATCAATTAAGTACTTAAAAACATCTCCTTCATATATTCAAAATTTTAATTACAATTCATAGTTGTTTTAAGCAAGACAATTTTTATTAATAATTTATTTCATAGGGTTCAGTGTTTTGTCCATATCTTGAGTTATAGACCTCATTTTAAGATGATTCCAATTGTGTTGGAAAGATAAGATAATAATCTATAACTTTAATGAAGGCACTATCCTCAAATTCTAACATTTATTGAGTCGTTTTCCTAGTAAACAAAGACGGGGTAATATACTGTTTGACTTTATCTCGATTATACCCTTAACCTTTTTCAAAATTCCATTTATGTCCCTAATATGTGAAATGACTATTTTACCCTTGATCTTTTGCAAAAATTCCCACCTAGTCCTTTCTTCTTCCTTCGCTCGCTCAAGCGAGTACACCAGTCGCTTGAGCGAGATGGAACCCGAGAGTCCCCTTTTGTTTGAAGGCTTCGTCGCTCAAGCGAGTACATCGGTCGCTTGAGCGAGGCATGACCCGAGAGTCCCCTTTGTTGGAAGCTTTCGTCGCTCAAGCGAGTGCACCGGTCGCTTGAGCGAGACATGACCCGTAGTCGCTCAAGCGATGTAATTTTCGCTTGAGCGATAAAGAACCCGAGAATCCCAAATTTTCCAGGTGTCCTCGCTCAAGCGATATATTTTTCGCTTGAGCGAATTTTGCAGATTTTCATCCAGTTCGCCATTTTCGATATCCAGGTTTCAAATTTCTCAGTTTCAATCACTCAAATTAGTTCCAAATCAAAATTAAACTATAAACATGTTCAATTTAAGTTAAAAACAACAATTTTATTATATAATTCATCCTTAATTGAAAGAATTTCAACAATATTTCAAACTTTGCAATTGATGAATAGTAATCTCCAATTACAGACATTGGTATGAATAAAACTAAACGTCTAACCCATATCTGGCTCCTTCAAAATCTTATTATTCTCTTAATTTCTTATGCTCCCCTTTCCTCCTTTCTCTCGAATTCTTCTTCTCAGAATTTTGGTGCCTCTCTGTTGGATTTGTAAATGACAGGAATTGTATGTTTTTGTGTAAGTAAGCTTTCAAATTTCTTCCTATTTATACACTTATCTTACCGACTTATAGTCCTTCTCGAATTTTTTTTTATTTTATTCTCCATCGCCTTATTTCACCGACTTAATTCAAAGGTTTTATTGACTTGATCTAAAACTACGGTCCCTAAATACCATTTCTCTCTTTTCGTGATTTTTTTCTTCTAAATATTTATTTATTCATTTATTTAATTTTATTATTTATTATTTGACACAATATTAACCTTGGATTTTATTTTATAATTTTCTTAAGACAAAATTACTATAAAAATCATGTTTTATAATAACTCTACATAATATTCGGTACATATTTATAACTTACAAAATTTATTTACATAATTGATTGCAAAATTTAGGATATTACAAAACTCCCTATGAATTATACAAAGGTAAAAAGCCTAACATAAACTATTTTAGAGTATTTGGATGTAACGTTTTTGTCTTAAACAATGGAAAGGAAAATCTTGGAAAGTTTGATTCCAAATCAGATGAAGGTATCTTCTTGGGATATTCATTGAATAGCCATGCTTATAGAATCTTTAACAAAAGGCTAAATACTGTAGAAGAATCTATTCATGTTGTATTTGATGAGACTAACCCAAGTATGCAGAATATTTCTGAGTATAGTACAGAAGATGATGTTTTAACTGATAAAATGTATCAGTTAAAACTGCCAGAATCAACAGTTTTTCAAAAACAGGCAGAAGATATCGAAGAATCTGAAGAGCAGCTGCCTAAAGAATGGAAGACTCTAAGAAATCTTTCAATAGACAACATCATTGGTGAAATAAATCAGGGAGTTTCCACTAGAAGATCTTTAAATAAATTCTGCAATCACATGGCATTCGTATCACAAATTGAACCAAAAACCATATCTGATGCATTAAAGGATAATAACTGGATTACTGCTATGCATGATGAATTAAATCAATTTATAAGAAATGAAGTATGGGAATTAATTCCAAAACCAGATAATGCCAATATTGTAGGAACAAAATGGGTTTTTAGAAATAAAATGGATGAAAATGGTATAATTACTAGAAACAAGGCCAGATTAGTTGCTAAAGGGTATAATCAGCAAGAAGGAATTGATTTTGATGAAACATATACTCCTGTTGCTAGATTAGAAGCTGTTAGACGTTTACTTGCTTATGCTTCGATAAAAAGTTTCAGGTTATTTCAAATGGATGTCAAAAGTGCTTTCTTAAATGGCTACTTGAATGAAGAAGTTTTTGTTACACAACCACCTGGTTTTGAAGATCATATTCATCCAGAATATGTTTATAAATTAAAGAAAGCTTTGTATGGTCTCAAACAAGCTCCAAGGCAATGGTATGAAAGGTTAAGTAATTTTCTCATATCAAAGGGCTATCAAAGAGGTTTGGTTGATAAGACTTTATTCTTAAAAAAGTTAAATAATGATGTAATTCTAGTTCAAGTATACGTTGATGACATCATATTTGGAGCCACTAATGAGTGTCTATGTAAAGATTTTATCAAAGATATGCAGGGAGAATTTGAGATGTCTATGATGGGGGAACTCAACTACTTTCTTGGATTACAAGTTAAACAACTTCTAGGAGGAAGTTTTCTTCATCAATCAAAATACTGCACAGAGCTTTTAAAGAAATTTGAGATGGAACATTGCAAAGAAGCATCAACTCTGATGTCCACAAATTGCTATCTTGATTCTGATGAAAAAGGAAAACCTGTTGATGAAACTAAATATAGAGGGCTTATTGGTTCTTTACTATATCTAACAGCAAGTAGACCTGACATTATGTTTAGTGTTTGTATGTGTGCCAGGTTTCAATTTGCACCAAAAGAATCTCATCTTACTGCTGCAAAAAGGATCCTCAAATATCTCAAAGGAACTTTAAATGTTGGGTTATGGTATCCTGGTGAGTCCAAACTAAATTTAATTGGATACTCTGACTCAGATTTTGCAGGATGTAAGCTTGATAGGAAAAGCACCAGTGGCACTTGTCATCTCCTTGGAAGCAGTCTAATCTCATGGCATAGTAAAAAGCAATCATGTGTTGCCCTTTCTACAGCTGAAGCGAGTACATTGCAAGCTGGAAGTTGTTGTGCTCAATCCCTTTGGCTCAAACAACGAGGTTGAGGATTATGGTTTAATTCTCAGAAAAATTCTTCTTTTATGTGATAATACTAGTGCCATTATATTAACTAAAAATCCAATTCAACATTCTAGGACAAAACATATAGAAATTAGACATCATTTCATTAGAGATCATGTTTTGAAAGGTGATTGTGAAATTTTCTTTATAGAAACTGAAAAACAACTAGCAGATATTTTTACAAAACCTCTTGCTCGTTAATTTTCAAAGCTGGTTATTTTAATCGATAAAAACAAGCTATTAATTAAATAAAATATTTTAAAAAATTAAATAATTGAAAATTAAATTAATATAAATTTAATGTATTTATAAAAGTGTAAAAGTTGAAAAATAAAAATCGTGAACAACAGGATTCGAACCTACGCGAGGCAAAGCCCACACGATTTCTAGTCATGCCCAATAACCACTCTGGCACATTCACTTTTTGATAAATTTTTAATTATAAACTTTATACATAGATCTAAACATATACAATTAAAATTAGGACAGGTATGGATTGCAGTTTACAAATATATATTTAAATTTGATTTAAATTAAACTAAATTCAATCTATATTTATTTAAATTTAAATTAAATTTTGTCTGAACTAATTTAGTTGTTATTTTTTATTGAAAAATATACTTATTGATAATACTAAAACTTAGATAATACTAAAACTAAGAATTAAGCTTTAACTTTCAAAGAAATACATCAAATGTTTTTCCCTCCCTCACTAATGTAATCACAACACCATTACCTTGTTTTTTACCTGAAAATAAAACTTTATGATTTCCTTCAACATCTTTAGAACCTTTTAGTGATGATGAGGATTGTCGCCGTCGTCAGAAGAGGCAGTCGAAGCAACGCGATGCTTTTGATTGACTCGCGTTTTTTGAAAGAAGTGGTTCAACGCCTTTAGGTTGTCCGATAACCGAGCTAGACCTAAAGGCGAGGTTTTCGCAAAAGGTTCGAGAAGTCGCCCTCAGTGTTTTAACCTTAAACACTAAAAAAGGTAAAAAAAGAAGAAGGCAGTGGTTTTAGAAAAAACCAACTTTGGCCATTATAACCAGAGTCAGGTAAGGGAGTTAGTTACGTGTGGGAAAGATGTTAGTACCCCACAACGCCCCTTTCGAGTTCCCTATGATGGACTAGTTTAACAAATAAATACTTAAAGAAATTATGCTTTTACCCTATTATTTAAACTACTGGCAGAATTTAAATGTCTACATTATCCTAATATCTAGTGCATACAAGGAAAATAGTAAAAGAAAGCAGTAAAAGATAAGAGATATGAAGGAGAACCTCCAAAGCGAGCTTTTATAAATCTTGAACTTGAGGACATTTTTTGGCAGTCCCCACACTTTACAGAGTCACTCCTTCCTCGAACAAAAAATAACAGTACCACCCTATCGAGGGTCGGACGTCTCCAAAGGAGACTTCCTTAACCGATTTCTATCTTAAATGGATGGTCGTCCATGTAGGGTGGACAGTCATCCATTGCCAAAAGTTGCCATGGATGGTCGTCTGAGCCAAGTGGATTGTCGTCCATTGCCTTAAAGTAGGCATGGACGGTCGTCTGACTGTCCTGGAAGGGCATCTACTGTTTCCGACGAAATTTCCAATTTTTATTGCCTCTAAAAACCCTTCCTATCTTAGAAAAAGATACTAGGGACTTAACAAATTTTTGACCATCTTCGAAACGGGTTATCTTCGGCTTTATTTGGGAGCCGAACAAGATTTCGGGTCTACAAGGATGACATCCTCACACAACATGTACATGAGGATGATGACAACTTAGAGGTACCTCCATACAACAACAATCCCAACATACACCATCCATACATCCCTCTCCAACATTTTGAAACCTATACCACACTTCCTTATGAACAAAATAGTGAGTTTGATGATGCATTTTACCATGAATCAGTGGAACATCCATCTGGATCATTATTTAAGGGAATGTGGTTCTTTATCAATCCTGCTCACCATGTGGTTGCAGCGTGCAAACATGCTCACCATGATTATGAGATGTACATCAATCATGTTTACAGGTTAGATATAGTCAACAAAGTGTATGATAATTTGTTTGGGGAGCTTAGACACGAAGATTATTGGTCATCACATCAAGTCCCACAACTTTGCCCCAACCCAGCAATAAGAAAAAGTTTCAAGGGTCGTCCGAAGTCAACACAAATTAGGACTGAAATGGATATCCGTAAAGAAGGTCACCCAAAGAAATATTTCTATTATCACACTTCAATCTAGGTCACATAAGAAATCATTGTCCACCTAACCCTGACCTTAGGGGATCAACTTCTCATAGATAAATTTGTTGTAGTTTTGTAATATGAGATTACAATAAATAAATAAATAAGTATTTTGCTCATTTGTAGTTTTCTAACTTGCTTATTCATATTTCATTTTCATTGATTTAATATCTAAAATATCAATTCACCTTAATTCAAATTATATATATTACTCAAATTATCTAATTCAAATTTCTATTTATACAAAATTTTAAATAAATATTTATACCATATCTATTTTATATTGTATCAAAAATAAATAAAATTATTTTTTGTATAATATTATATTTATTTACTAAACATCTTTTTTATTAAATAAATACTTAAATATTATATAAAAAATATATTTATTATTATTATTATTATTATTATTATTATTATATATCTAAATATATATATATATATATATAGATATAATTATATACATATATTAAACATATAATTATATAATATATTTTTATTATATATAAAAATATATATTTATATTTATTATATATAAAATATGAAAAAATATTTTACATATATAAATATGTATATTTATTTTATATATATATATATATATATATATATATAATTTAATAAAGTTATTATGTATATAAAATGTATTTATTAAATATTTAAATATATAAATATATAATTATATAAATATATATATATATATATATTAATATTTAATAAAGTTATAATATATATATATAAGAAAATATAAATATGTATTTATCATATTAAATTTTAATATATTTATAAAAATATAAATAAATATTTAAATATTATATATATATATATATATATATATATAATATTTGTATTTACTATATTTATAACAATATATTAATAATACAATTATATAAATATATTTTTATGTTATATAAAAAAATATTTTTTATTTATTTCATATAATTATATAAATAAAATTAATATATATATATATATATATATAATATAATATTTATATATTTATTTTATTTAAATACATATATATATATATATATTTAATTTTTATATATAATATATATTTTTATATTTTAAAAATTTATTAATTTTTAAGGTCAGCGAGCTGAATTCCTACCATGCAGTATAATCTATGGTATTATGTAAATTTTGTAAACAGTGTGCTGTCAAGATATATTTTCTTCTGTTAAGAAAAAATCTTGACTTTCAAAGAATCAATTTTCCAGTTAGGTGAGGATGAAGTATACAGATATGTGAAATAGTAAGGGAAAGATAATTATGTAAAATAATTTTTTTATATACTTTTTACCTTTACTAATCACTTTACTTCTTTTAGGCAATACACCATTTTATAAATTTATTTTTAAGTTAAAATAAGGGTATGATTTAGTAAATAATTTATTTATATCTTTAGTTTTGTCATAAATCTTGTGGCAAATATAGGGGCACTCTACTATCTCGTTGCACAAGATGGAAGCAATAACATACTCTCCATTGTTTTTGCAATTGCTTGTTTTTAAAATATAAAAAAAAAACTAAGGAGATATGTCACATCTCATGACAACTTGTGCGTAATTTCAGATCTTCACAACTCAATTCATGTAGCGTATGCAAGACTTGAGAGTGGATGTACTGAAGGTTACTGTATGCATGTGCGCTGCGTTCGACATATTGCACAAAATTTTATGACAAGATTAAAAAGTGCAACTCTCAAAAAAGACCTTATCAATATGGGTAACAACTTTTATTCTATCTAAACTATTTTACTATGTCATATTGTTTATTCTATATTAACTTTTATTACTTCAACATGTAGCATACACAATGACTGAACCAAGAACAAACTATTACTACAACATCAGAAGACAAGCCAATACAGAAGCAACAACCTGGATTGACGAAATTCCAAGGAATAAATGGACACTTTCATATGATGATGGTAGAATATGGAATCACCTAACAACCAACTTAGTTGAATCCATCAATTTAGTCATAAAGAAAACAAGGAATCTACCAATCTCCTTCGTGGTCATGACCACATACACAAGATGCAACAAATTTTTCACAGAAAGAGGGAGGTAAATTACAACAATGGTTAATGTTAGTCATGTCCATCCAGAAGTTGCATCAAAGGTCTTACAAGATGTTTATACAAAATCAAACACTCATAGGATACTTGAGTTCGATAGAAACAACACAAGATTTTTTGTGGAAGAGATCGTCAACCTTAGAGAAGTTCGACCTGCTCGTAATTTTGTTGTTAAATTAGATGAAGCTTGGTGTGATTGTGGAAAGTTCCAAAAACTTCATCTATCATGTTCCCATGTGGTTGCAAGTGTGCAAACATGCTCATCATGATTACAAGAAGAAGTAAAGTGATGTTATGTTTATTTGGCGAGAAGAAGTAAGGTGAAAAGTGATTATATAAAAGAAATATTATTTTACATAATTATCTTTATTGAAATAAATAAATATTTATTTTATATTTATAATTTTAATATATATATATATATATATTATTTGTTTATATTATTAATTTAATTTAAAATAATTAAAAAAATATATAATGAAAAATTCTGTATAATTATATATTAATATATTATTTTAAAAAGTTATTTTATTATAAAAAAATAATTAAAATTATAAGAATAATTTTTCAATTGAATAAATATTAATTTAATTATTTATTATTTTTTAAAATAAATATTTTTCTTCCTTTGCGTGTTATTTCTCTATAAACGAGTAAGAATATTTTATCTATATTTCATTTTCTTTCATCAATGCTTTCTTTCATTGCTATCAAATAGACCTTTAAAGAAGATTTAAATTATTAAAACATGATCTGAAAGATATATAGATAAAAATACAAAAGAATAGATACTTGGATTTCATCAAACGAGGTATTTATTTATAAATACAAATGTAACCCAAAAGATACTTTCTAAATATGATCATTATTTATATCATATAAATAATAATACAGCATAAAACTATTGAAATCAACACCCAATAATTATTCATAACATAGATATTATTATTGAAAATCGAAATCTAAAAATAAAAAATATATCTTTATTATTTTTAATTTTTAATTTTGAAAAATTAAAAAATAAAACCAAATTTCTGTCTTAACGAAATATTATCGAACAAATTTTATAATTTTTTAAAATTAAAAATAATAAAC